AGAATATTTTTGAAAGATATTTGTTGTATGTGTAAATATGTAATATGTTTTTATATATGCCTAATTAACTCGTAAGTACTCGTTCGCACTTACTAGTGAGAATATGATTTGTGATGTAAGAAAATGGATTTGTAATAAGGATATCTTTTATATTATAATATAGATTTAAGTTATAACTAACCAATAATCTGAGAAAACATTGATTTATGTATTTACTTTATAATTTATTATTATGCATTTTATATTTGATTTATTTTGCATACGTATATCCTTTTGTTTTTTGTTGCTCGCTTTTGACCCTTGAGAAATCCATTATTCTTGTGTGTATAAAAAGATTGCCATTAATTTTATTTTTGTTATTTTCCAGTGCATGAATTTTTGCAAGTATTTTGGTGTCTGTTATTTTTAAATTGCTGTGTTTTCGTGTTGAAGCATACTTTAAGAAACTTGGCTCAGTGCCTTTCCATATAAAGAACCGGAATGATCTGTATAGGTGATTAGCCGCCAATTTTTATATTTCTGAAAGTTTTTTTAAAAAAGATGTTTACTGAGATGATTTGTGTCAATTTATTACATTTTGACTATCATTGATCAATGATCAAATTCGAATTTGATCTTAGTTTAAATATGGTTTGAATATTTATTGGCAGTATGAATATAGTGACGTCAAATTCACAAGACATCTCTTCAAGCCAAATAATGAATATCAGCTGTACAATTCATGCAACGCAAATAATATTCCTTTAAAGCGAAATATGTTTTGGCAAAAATATCTTATAGTCCAAGAGTCAAGGATAAAAAGATCAACTACGTACTGCGAAAGTTGTTAAAATATCTTTTACATTTTCACCAATCAGATTTTGAATATATATAATAACCAAAATGAACCAAGACTGTACTTTTTAATAGAAATTAAGAAATTAAACAAAGATTTCACAGATTCTTGATAAATTCAATTATTAAATTACTTAATATGGGTAAGAATTGAATTAATCGATAAATTATAAACTGAATTAATTTTTATATAAATAAAGCAAGGGATTTTTTATAGACCATAAAAACTCTTGAAGGCCTAAAGTACTCATGAGTCCCTATCAACTTTGTCTTAAGTCCATACTGCCATACGTGATTATTTCAGCTCATTATTTCCAATATTAAAGTAAATATTTAGTTTCTTTATACATTGTCTTTAAATCGATTTACAATTTACAAAATATAAATTCAAAAATCATTAATTAGCAAACGGGCCATAAAAAACTTGTATGTTATTTATTCCTATTTTCAATGTATTTTCGGGCATTGTTTGTTGGATTTGTTATTTCAAACGGAATGCGTATTAAAATAAGTTTAGACTTTTATGAAGTTTATAATATCAAAACTTTTACTAGAGAGGTTCTTGACAAATTTTAATAGTAAACAAAGTGCCATTGACTCTTGGATAATAAAATGTTTTTTAAATTTGGATCGTTATAAATACTTCGAGGTTAATTCTTAGACAATATTAAATAAATCTATAATTTCAAAGTTTAAATGTAATGTTTACATATTATATATATATATATATATATATATATATATATGATACTTGAAAAATCTGCGAAGTGATATCGATTTAGTTGAATTTTACAGCTTGGAAAGAATGTGAATGTTAATAAGATTTTTTCTGAAACTTGGATATTACTGACACAAATTATTGCTAGAATATTGAAACTAAAATTAAACTTAAAATATGAATTTTCTTGGCGCATGGTGACATCCAATAATTTGCGTTTTATTACTGTTGATTTACTTGTAAATTGGAGAATATTATTTGGCAGCACGACTGATGTCACTCCTGTACTTAAACTAAAACGGTTTTAAGGTCACAATTTAAATATTAAGTTTAGAATCATATGTAGTTGCATTCAAATTTTCATAAATATATGAAATTCATGGGAAACTAGTTGGTTTGGTATTTAGCCTTGAGGCAAGTTACATGAACTTCCGATATGTGTAAATAATTGACTTAATCAAAAAAAAGTGTAAATAATATACTTCATCAATCCTACTTTAAAAACGATAATGATTTTAGTAAAGTTTGACGAATTTTTAAAATTAAACTACTTGTCGTAATGCCGTAATATTACAGTAAGTTCTATAAGACCATGATGTATATCGCCAAAAAAAGTTCCATGAAATCGGCTTAAATTTTTTTTTCAACAGTTCATTACAAGAAAACGGCTCGGTAGATTTTCACCTAAAATTAATCAGTACCATTCCCAACTAATATCTTTCGAACAGTTTTTGATTTTTTAAAATCGGTTCGGTAGGATGAGCTTAAATATGGACGATAAGTTTAACACTTTTTTTTAAATTGCAAAGAAACGGCTTGGCAGATCGTCGCACAAAACTGACAAACGATAGTCCTCACCGAAATACATCAAATGGCTTTTAAATTTCTGAAACGGTTCAGGCGCTTTGAGAAAACGTCGATCAAGTCTAATTTGACAAATGTCAAAAAAACTATACCAATTTTTGCAAACTTTGACGAATTTTCTAAACGAGTTGTCATAGGGCCGTAATATTTTAGTATGACCTAGAAAACTATGGTATCTACCGTCAAAAAAAAATCATAAAAATCGTAAAATTTTTTTTTTTTAAAACGTTATTACAAGAAAACGGCTCGGCCGATCTTTACCAAAAACTAATCAGCACGATTCCCAATCAATATCTATCGAATGGTTTTTGAATTTTCAGAATCGATTTAGATTGCGGGCTAAAACGTGGGCGAAAAATTTTTCACTTTTCTGCAATTTACAGCAAAACGGCCCGGCCGATCGCCGCACAAAACTCAGAGACGATAGTCCTCATCGAGATACATCAAATGGCTTTTAAATTTTTAAAATCGGTCCAGTCATTTTTGAGAAAACGTCGATTTACGGCAAAAAATCTGTTCACATACACACACACACACACACACACATACACACACACACATACTTTTTCCAATTTGGTCTCATTCGATTCAGAATGGCTTGAAACTGTCGAGAAAACATAAAATTAGCGAATCGGATTTTTTTTGATGAAAACATAAACTTCTCCTTCGGGAAGTTAAAAAAACAATTGTAAAAGTAATGAAAATTAATACCAAATATTTTAATAATTCTATAACGATTAATTTGTCCACGTGTATTTGTTATTTGTATAATGCAACAGAAGATTGCAAACTGTTTTGGATGATTTCTTCGTATAAAATCATCGACCAAAATATCATTGAATTCATCTATTGCGTTTTACACGCGTTAAAGGTGGAATAGCATTTACTGACGAAAATACTATATTTATTGTGAAATAGTATCTAATAAAAATAAAACTTCCTTTCGAAATATAATCATTGAATACAATTACTTGATGCTATAACAAGCATATATGCAGACAAGTGAATTGAATTATTTTCAAGAGCCCTACGTTATATACAAATTTTTGACCGACCGAGTTTTTGTAGCAAAAAAAATTCAACTGTTAATTACGTAGAAGGTTATATTATTGTCCAAATTAAAGTAATAACTAGTGGTGAATGGCATCGTGCCTTAAGTCAAATTGCTGGTACTTCCCGTACCAAAATTTTTTTTTTTTTAAAAGATTAACATTTTTGAAAAAAATTACTCTTAAATATTATATTTTTGAGAAACTATAAATTTTTGACAAAAATTTACTTTTTTTTGAAAGAAAGACTTTTTGAAGAAAAGTGTATTTTGAAATATTTTGGAAATTCTGAACTTTTTTTCAAAGCAATAGTACTGATTTAACTGCATAGAGACGAAATATCGAAGCGCCGCGCCGCCATCTAACGGATAAGCATTGGTACGGAACCCATAGAAATGTAAACAAAATTTATACTTATTGTTAAAATCTCTATAAAATATCTGATAATTTGATGTGCATATGTCTAATGATTATTTTTGACCGCCAGATGGGATTCTTTTTACTTTTTTTACTAGATCTCCGAAACCGCTAGACCTGCTTCATGAAATTTTGATCTAGTGAAATGTTTTTGAATTATTTAAATCGGACGCTCCGTTCTCTTAAAAACTGAGTTACTGTTTTTGGCACTTTTTGCCCCATATGTTCGGAACGGCTAGACCTGCCTTCGCCAAAAACTAATCAGCACGTCTCTTTATCAATACGAATCGAATGTTTTTTGAATTATTCAAATCGCTTCATCCGTGCTCCCGAAATCGTCGACGAAAATTTGTATCCGCACACACATACACACACCACACACACAAAACATACATCCATTTTTTCTAAGGTATGCCGAATGTTCAAAAACTTCTGAAACGTAAAGATATATAAAAATTTTCATTTTCAATTTTTTTTGCGATTACTATAACTTATCCTACGGGAAGTTAATAATCGGCATGATTAGATATTGCAAACCGCCTAAAAAACTATGAATAATTGTTCTACACTATTTCCATAATTATACTTCATTTTGTAGCAAGTAATTTAAGTAGCATGGAAAAACTTTCAATTAAGCATTAAAAAACATTGTCCAAATTGTAAGAGATGTCTAGGATGTTGTAGTCTTCAACACTAGATTTATATCTACTATACTATGTGATGCACTATATAGCCTTTTCGCTACGGAACTGTTTTTGGCAGGAGTGACCCTGCTGTACGAGCCACCAAGCCGCCAAAGTATTAATTACGTAAAATATTTAAAAAAAAAATAATTTTAATCATTATCGGATGTCGCCTACAGGATACGCTCGTAGGGAAAGGGCTAAAAAACATTTCGTATATAAAAAGAGCTTTTAATCAGTTAGTTTTTTTTATTTTTCCTTAGGTACAGTCGGGACTTCGAAGATTTCGACATATTGTCAATGAACTCAAGCCGTTTGCGAAATATTCCATTGCACGAAAGAGGAAACGAAAAAGACCAAAGCCACCGAGATAAGAATTTCGAAATAAACATGCTGTCTTCTGATTGTACTCTCGATTCAGCGTCAGTAATACTCGCATGAATTGGCCAAATATAACAATATTTTACTACGCATAGATGATTAATAATAATAATATTAATATTAATAAACTATAACAATAATTAATCGCTATAGTGACTTTAGCTTTGAGCGCGCGTTCCGACAATTTAAACGCATGTCGAGCAGATTGCATTGCAACTAAATTCCTAAAGTATAATTCTAATGAAGTCTATTGAAATAAGCTAATTTACCTATTTATTTAAGCAAATAAACCAAAGCATTTTCTTAAACCAGTATTAGGCAAAATATATCTATTCCAACGATCTAGTCATTTTGTAATATATGTTAATCATAATAATATTGTATATTATTTTATGAATTAATTGTTCTCTTATGTTGTTTTTTATATATTTATTTTATAGCTGAATATTTGTTAATTTATTTTTGTACATTTTTTTCTATTTGTTATAATAAATATATTAATAAATAATTATACAATAGAAAAGTCTTTGATGAAAGAGGAATATATATATATATATATATATATATTATATATATATATATATATGGTATATGGTATATGTATATGTGTGTTTATATATATATATATATATATATATATATATATATATATATATAATATAATAATGCGAGATTGCAAAGTACGCAAGTCGTGACAGAAATTACTTAACTTTACATACATTTTTGTCAACTAAAACTATCATTTTTCTTTTTACATCATACAAAAAATGATAAAAAATTCATGGTGTTGAAAAGTTAGATGTAAAAATGTTAGTGCTAATTTCTAGTGTCGTGTACACATCTTTAGATGTAACCTACCAACCTTAATATCCACTGATGATGACATTAAATTGAATGTCGAAACGTTTGGAATTTAAGATTAAATTATAAATCTTTGCTTTTTATTCTTTGATGTAATATATAAATTTATATCCTCCCATGGTTCACCCTCTAGAACTCCCCCCCCCCTAAAAGGTTTTTCAAAATTTAACCCTTATCTTTGAGTCAATGCACGGAAAATCAGAATTTATTTTAGTAGTATGTTTTCTTGAAAAAACTATCTTATTTTGATTCCTAGAATCCGAAACCCATATGTGCCTTTATTAGATTAGATTTACCTTTAAATCGACTGTGGTACTAAATGATACTATGGTAGATGATACTAAACTTGTTACCGACTAATTTTATTATGGAATTTGTTTTACTTAAGATATTGCATAATAGTTCTCATTAAATATATAAAAAAATATTTTTAATTCTAGTTTTAGATTAATTATGTTGAGGCTAAAGCAATGATAGTTTGTAATATTGTTTCGGTTCCTTATCAAAACGGCAATAACTTTGTTAAAAATAATGCATATTTTTATCAAATAAGCTTTGAATATTTGATAAAAATAAAACGGAAATAGAAAGAAAACTATAATAATATATATCTTATACGCCTGTTAATTATTTTAATTTTATTATTATCTAAATATCCTTCACCATCTGAATGCTTTGATTGTGTGTCATCTGTGGGACTCACATTTTTTATTATTTTATTAATTTCTACAATTGTTCTGAAACGGACAACAAGTAAAATATTAGACATAAAACTAAAGGCGTTGGCAAAATACAAATCATCTGACCATTGCCAGTGATTTTTTCGAAGGTCTTATCTATTGTTGATTAATGCAGAAGAAATTTTCTTTTCAATCTGGCCCTAGTAGAGTTGTTCTAAAGTTTTTTGGCGAGCAAGTTTGGGTGATCAGCTAGACTATTTCTATATTTGTATGAGTAATCAATTATTTCATCTTTAACTGTGCTAGTGCCGGTGCTTTGTGTATTAACCATCAATTTGGAACATACTTTGGTACTTTTAATATTTCTTTTAATAATTTGTTTTGAAATCTTTTGAAAAGCATTTGAATTAGAAGTTAATCCCCATAGCTGTAACCCGTATGTCCAAATTGGTTTAATGATGGCTTTATAGAGGTAAATTTTATTATGGAGCCAATAAAATCTTCTTCTGGCATCTACAAGCTGCTTCCTCTTTTTCTTAATGTGTTCTTTCCAGGTTAGTCTTTTATCCAGGTGTAAACCTAGATATTTGACTGTATCTGTTTGATCTATAATTTCGTCATTAAGACTTACACATGGTCACACAAATTTAAATTCATACGACTTCTAAATAATTCTTGAAATCCATGCAAAAATTTTATTAAGCTACGTAAGGATTTAATAATAATTTAATTTAATAAGTAATAATGAGCCATTATAATTATAATTGCCAATTACCGTTAAATTAATATCAACAGCTTCTCTACAGAATTCAAAATTATATTTCCTCTAAAGTGACATTTTACCGGATAAGCAAGATCAATAAAGTGAGGTTAGCTCTCCAGTCTGTCATTTACTATAAAGTGCTCTAAAATGTTGTGTCCAGAAGTGTGGAAATTCAATCCTCCAGAAATAAGTGATAAAATAATAGATGGTTCTTACAAAAATGAATCTGCAAAAAAGCATGTCACGTATACAATTGGCAAACATTACTTCAATCATCTGGTAAGTGTTCCTGTGTTCTATAAATATCTTGTAAGCTAAACTTAGAATTGAAAAACCAATATATCAGCCACTGCGTAAATGGTCTTCAATATAAATCGATATTCATTTATTTGGTTGAAATTAAGTTGAGATCATCATTTTCAGGTGTCTATTGTTCTTCCCGATACTGGATCCCAGAGTTTACCTTCGGAGATTAATGATTTGTTGACAAAAGATTGTGAATATTATAAGATTGACAATGTTAAAGTTGAAGAATTTGTGAACCATAACTTTACAAGGGGATATGTAAATCAAGGTAATTTATCATGAATATAAGATTAATTCTTAATATTCTTTATAAATTTTGTTTAGCATATGCAATTATCAAAGTTTATCAGAAGAAATACTATAAAAATCAAACAAATAATTCAAGTTACCTAAATAATTAATGAAAAGTTTGTTTATTTTATGTGCTGGTAATTATGAGATAAGATTTATATACATTCGAATTATTACCCCTATTTTCATCTTCTTTTTTTTTTGAAACATATCTGTGAAAGTACTGTAACTATGATGATCTGATAGATTTTACAATAGCCAAGTTAATATTAATCAAATGTATAATCCTATGTTAAACTCTAATAAATAAGTAGGTCTTGCGTAGATAAATTGTCCTCGAACATAAATATGGATGTTATAAATACTTAATTAACTACTTTTGGAAAATTGTAACATTTAATATGTATTTAACAATATTAAATTTTAGCAAAAATTTATATACTCGTTAGTTCACTAAATTTTTGTAAAAGGTACAAAAGTAAAAAAAATATTTACTTTTGACTAAAAAAAAATCAAAATAAATTGTGAAGAAAGCACAATCATTGAACATGATTTATAATTATATATATATATATATATATATATATATATATATAATATGGATACTGAGATCACTTTTATATTTATATTTAGATCATGTTTGTATGCATAACTATACTCATGTAGGTTCAAGTATATTTCTGAAAATAAGTATTTATATTCACAAAGGAAACATCTTATTGTTCATATATTCACTTGCAAATTAAACTTGGATGCAAATATTTTTATATGTTATTTCAGTAAATATAATAAAATTATTCTACTATAAATATGAAATAAAATTTATAAAGAAATGTGATACTGATTTATTGTGATTTTTTTTAAGGTCAATTACATGTTCTAAGTATAAACACTCAAATTGACACAGACAATTGTTTGGCTATAACTCCATGTGGAAAATTAGTTTTGTCTTTATTAAAAGAGACTTATCAAGAATTAGGACTAGAAGGAAAATTATCACAATTTTGTAAAAAAGAAGATTATCGATATAGTAAGTACAATTTATAAAACCTGGCAATTTCTTGTGTGTTGTTAAAAAGTTTTTACTGAAATATTCTTTTATATATTTGTTACTTTTTTGAATGATATTATTTGAATTTAGGCAAATTTTGGATTAAGTTATTTGATATGGTGAATTAACTTTCTTCAAAACTTTGCTCATAACAATTTAAATTAAATTGCTAACTAATAGCAAATGTTTGTCAATATTTGCTGATAATTCAAAAATAAAGCTCATGCAATTGACCATTGTTATTTGATATTGACTTATTTCCCTTTCTTTTGCTTTTGAAAGGTATTAGGAATAGAGATATTAATCAAATATTTGTTCAAATAAAACCCCAAGACTCAAACAGATCTGAATTAACTTTTTTTTGAGTTGCATATGTTTTGCAAAATAATTAATTCGTAAACAATTCACCCAATAGCAATATTATATTTGCAGAATTTGTGACCTGATGAAACCATAATAATATTAAGTTCGTAATAAAAAAGGTTTTATTTCAATAATTGAATACAATCATGCCTAAGAGGAGGCAGCCAATGTCCTTGGAGAATATTGCTCTCCAAAATTTAACATCCTGGATATGTTTAATAGGACAAAACATCATGCCAAAAATCACTTACATGTCCAAGGCCGAGCCTGGAAATGCTTCTGATATCTTACTAAGTGTAATAAAATATCTCAGTGACATAATTCAGTATAACATGCCTTACAATCTTTATGACCGCCTCAGTCAAGAAATGTTCAAAGCTATCCCGGATTTAATAGAACGAACTAAACGTGCCATGGATTTAAGAACCTCTATGGCTACCTTTTTAAACCAGATAAATGTAGCAGTTACTTTATCTGAAGTTCTGTTATCTCCCTGCTTGACTAATTTAAATTTTGATGATGTACCAAAAGTAATGAGGCATGTTTTTTACAAAAAATTGCCAAAATTGACAGGTTTATTGAGCTTAAACTTAGGCTCAATGTCTGGAGGATGGAAAACGTTTGACATGGAACCTACTGTAGTTAAAGGAATTTCAAATATGAAGAATTTATCATTCTTGTCCATAAATTATGATTGTACTGATAATATACTTTTATGCCTATGTGAGCACTGTCCAAATTTGAAAAGCATTGACTTGTCTTCTTCGAAATTGATAAATGATGACAGTATCGATATACTGATAAATTTGAAAAAATTACGCTATGTTCAGTTATATAGAACTTCAGTGACACTTGAAGGATATGTAAATGTATTACTGAATCTTGAACACATTGAAGACTTAGGGCGCTGCGATGAATTGGGTAGAGTTTTAGAATATATTAAATTCAATCATAAATTTCAAACATTTGGTTTAAAAAAATTTGTCAGCCGCTACGCTCCAACAAATCATTTGCAGCTTCTAGCGGATATGTGTCCTTTGATATCAAGTGTATCTATTTTTCATAACACATTATTGAGTGATTTAATGGTTTTGATATCTTTTGAGCGATTGAATGATTTGAAACTTCTTTCATGTGATTTTTTTGCTGATCAAGTGAAACATTTACTTCAAGTAAAAGGATGTAATTTAACATCCCTGCATTTGGAACATGTAGATGAGATTGATTTAAATGCCCTGATGTATATAAGCCAGTTTTGTCCTGATCTCAAAACACTAACATTTTATAATTGTGAAATGATACAGTCAACATCCTTATATACAAACAAAAGATTAGATATTCCGCCATTCATGAATTTGGAACGATTAACATGCATTGCTGAATGTTTGCCACAACATTTGGACTTTTTATTGTCTAATTGTTTCAAAGTCAAATATATCCATTTTGGAACTTCTATTCCGACATCAGACGAACTTATTGAGAAGGTTTTGTCTAAAAATCCGATGATTTATCTAGAAGAACTGCGTGTTTTGCATTCTGATAGACTAACCATAGCCTCCGCGTATAAGCTCGTAGAAATATGTCCGAATTTAAGTATACTCACTGAGCTGGAAAGCTGGCGTGTGTCACAAGTAGAATTGGATTGTTTCAAACGATTTATTAAAGAAAATAACTTATTTTTGGATATAACTCCTTTCCGCAGAATTGAACTGTAAAAATACTATATTCTGTGATATATTTGTAATTTAATATTTATTTGATACACTGTTTGTTTACCTACTTTAAGCATAATATGTATAATACTTTGAATAAAATTTCTTATAAAAATATCAACTTTGTTTTTTTTTTCTTTTGCAGTTGTCCATATAGATCTGAAATCTGATTTATTGACGCCTGGGAAGAAATATTATGATCGCGTTAAATGGTGCCTTTCTAACAATTTACAGCCTATGTCGGTTATTTTGGCTTGGATTCCAAATGAAAAATCAATTTGTCCATCATCCATTGCAAGTTATTTTGATTCATTAAAATATAAAGTTCATTTAGGCCAACCAAAATTTGAATCTAGAACTAATTATAGCGTGCAAGTTCCAATACTTGATATAAGCTCAAATGTGAAATATTGTACAAATGCTGAATTATTAGAATGGATAGGAATTCATAGCATAGGTGCTAGTTTAGACATGGAAAACTATGATTACTTATCAAGCTATCAAATTCCGGAACAGAATACCACATTTGGCCAAGTATTGTATTTAAAAGCTACAGGATTTTACTCGGCATCACAGGTTTTAGAAATATTTGATGCAATTAGGTAAGACTATATTGGATACTAAATATATATAATTACAATACAATTAAATTTCTTCCCTTAAATTTAAAAACATATATTTGTGACTTGTTTCACTGGTTTAATTCACTCTATTATTTTCTAATAGATTTTTTTAATATCCCAATTTATTTTGTCCAAGAAATCAGTTTCAAAAAAAATTATGACCAATAGATACAAAAATTTCTTAACTTTTGATTTCATATTATAATTAAATTCTGTAATACCAATCAAATTATTCATTTACTATTCTTTTTTTTTAACAGATCATATTTATCATCCCGTCCACATTTGCCTTGGATATCATTACATGTTCAAGGCTTTCATGATAGCCCAGTAAGCTGGGGATTAAAAGAACATCAATTTTACACAAGTGGGGATAATTCTTACACAATCGTCATCAAACCAGATGACCAATTTATTTTACAGACAATTATAAGTTCAAATAAAAGACCTAAGTAAGTTTTTTTTTAACTAAGTTTAAGTAACTTTTTGTGAATAGAATATGATTATGTTGAAAAAAATAAATATATATATATATATACATTTGTTACTTTTATGTTTTTTATTTATTATTAACTTCCCGAAGGAGGAGTTTATGTTTTCATCAAAAAATCCGATTCGCTAATTTTATGTTTTCTCGACGTTTCAAGCCATTCTGAATCGAATGAGAACAAATTTGGAAAAAGTATGTGTGTGTGTGTGTGTGTATGTGTGTGTGTGTGTGAACAGATTTTTTGCCGTAAATCGACGTTTCCTCAAAAACGCCTTAACCGATTTCAAAAATTTAAAATCCATTTGATGTATTTCGGTGAGGACTATCGTTTGTCAGTTTTGTGCGACGATCTGCCAAGCCGTTTCTTTATAATCTGAAAAAAAGTGTTAAACATTTCGTCCACATTTAAGCTCATCCTACCGAACCGATTTTAAAAGATCAAAAACTATTCGAAAGATATTAGTTGGGAATGATACTGATTAGTTTTAGGTGAAAATCTACCGAGCCGTTTTCTTGTAATTAACTGTTGAAAAAAAAATTAAGCCGATTTTTATGGATTTTTTTTTAGTGATTATATACCATGGTCTTATAGAACTTACTGAAATATTACGGCCTTATAACAAATTGTTTGATTTTAAAAATTCATCAAAGTTTGAGAAAATGAGTAGTTCTTTTGAGATTTGTTAAAATTAAAATTAGACTATTTACTTGGTATAATGATAGAGTACTTGGTCTTGAACATAATAAACCATTAAAGTCCTGAAAAATGGTTCAATTATATAAAATTTGCTTTTAGAAAATACTCCGAGTCAAAGTGTTCGTTCGTTTCAATTATGTGTAATAAATCCACTCGGAATACTTTTAATCATTAGTATATTGTCTAGGCTTTTAATGACTCATAAATTAATTTATTTTTTATTGATTAAGTCGATTATTTAAACATATCGGGAAGTTCATGTAACTTGCCTCAAGGCTAAATACCAAATCAACTAGTTAGTTATTATATTCTGTAATATTTTTTGCTATACATGCTATACATTGTTACATAGTTATTATATTCTGTAATATTTTTTGCTATACATGCTATACATTATTACATAGTTATTATATTCTGTAATATTTTTTGCTATACATGCTATACATTTCAAACAAATCCATTCACTTTTGGCGAATATAAGTGAATTTTACAAAGTTTAAATTTAAAGTTTGAATTTCGCGCTCTAGATTATAGACGACAATTATTTTGACATATGTTGCGTCAGTTGTCAAATAGATTTTCGTGAATTAACATGTGGTCGCGTTAATTAGGCGTTTTTAATTAAATCCTTGATTGGATTTTGTTAATTTGTGCATCAAAACGTGTAATTAATTTAAACGTTAATTAAAAGCCAAAAAATGGGTATGTTTGGAAGTGCCTAGGTTTACCTTGAATAGTTTGATAAGGATATATTTTGAATCAATTTTATAATTAAACATTTTATTTACAGCGTCAATGTATCCTTTATTTATATATATGCAATTATAAAATGTATCATTTATATATGTGCTTTTGTAGGTTATACTTTATCACTTCCAACTCATATCTGTTATTATCGATTTCTAAATTCACGAAAGTCTCTAACATAAGTTGGGTGTTGTGTATTGTGTAATAACTTTACTCGGACAATTGCAATATGTTATGTAAAAGACAAAGTTATGTAGTGGTTTTAAAGTAGTGAGTGTGTATCGAGTACTTGAGATTTCTGGCAGTTGCTCCAGAGGTGGTTCGAGTAATGACTATGTGCCCTGGGAGCTGCTGTAGAGGATATCTAACGATGTAAGTGCAAAGCATGTTTTATACAAAGCGAGTCAAAGAATATATTTCTGATATATACAGGCATTTATCATATTACATCTTATACACTTATAATATTTTAAATATTCAATATTTAACTTTTATATATATATATATATATATATATATATATATATATATATGTATTAAGTTTTTCTTAATTTTGAATTTAAAGCAGTCAAATAATTTGGAAAATCTTTACTTCAACACAATATTGTTTATCATCTTTAGTGAAACTATAATTTCAATAGAAATAAATTAGTAGGCGTTTACAATTACTGACGCAGATTGTATTACATGCTACTTTTTCTGCTCGTAATAATAATTTTTTTAATAATAATATATTTTATGCTTGTTTTTCATATCGAATGAAATTAATTGAAAGGTGCTTTGAGAACTTGTCCCTTTGTTATCCGATATCATTCATAAAGCAGTCTGTATATACTTTACTGGAATATTTTCTGGCTCGTGCATTATTATTATAGTGTATACATATATCTGCTGAAAATATTGTTTATTTATATTATAATATTTGGATTATTATAGTTTTTTTAATCATGTATAATTTATTAATTTTTAATACATAAAATACAATTTATTTTTTGTTTATTCAACTACAACTATTATGCAAATAAATGATTTTAAATTAATATGGCAGACATATGTGTAAAAAACTATGTTTTTATTTAATTTATTATGGGGAAAACATTTTGATTCAGTTTTTTTTTCATTTATTTATATATGTGCTTTCTATACATGTTCTAAATCAATAAAAATTGTACATCTCGTATGTATCAAAGACATTGTGAGTAATTTATATTATTACAATTCCATAAATAGTCAATCTGAAATTCTTTTGTTCTATAATAACACGATGAGCTATTTTTGTGTAGAATTCAGAATTATTATTTATATTAAATATTTGTTACCGAATTATTAGTTAACCAATACAGCTTTTTGTATGCATTGAATACTTGTTTGTTGATGAGGCCCTAGCACCCCTCCTTAGGTAACTCCTAAATTGATGGTATTTTGTTACAAATTACAAATTTACTTTGTTACAAAAATCTCTTTCTTATAACACTTCTTGTTCATTATTCTACCGAAACGGTAATTTTTTAAATTACATTTCTAGTATCAAGAATCATGTGTTTTCCCTGTAGCGATATTGACTGCATGTACATTCTTATTTATGATTGTTGGTTTTGATCAAATTATTTCAAATACTCAATAAGACTTACCAAATTGTTAATTGAATGCAGCTTTTAAAAGTCTTTCACTGTAGTTTTATTTTAATTTTATTCAATTATATTGCTGCATAGCTAAATGATAGATTTTTATTCTTTTATTGCTAAAAACAATTTTGATCAGACATACAATCAAAGTTTTAAAGAGTTGACTTGAATGATTAGACAAAATTTAAGTTTGATTACAAGTTCATTATTTGATTCAAGTTGTAAAAATTATTTAACTCAATTTCTAAAGGATAACAATAAGCTTTATAACAGTTTTGAAGTTTTTAATGTTCAAGTTTTTAAACATTTTTTATTATTTCATTTCACAAGTTTTGTTGAATTTCTTTTTTGGCTTTTTCCAATAATTTGTATATTGTTCAAGTCAGCTATATTTATATTTTTGTCTTGATTAATTGTAAAGGTTTCACATGTTTTATCAAGTCGTATAAACGATTTTGATTCGATTAATATGATTTTATTTCATCGATTAATTAAATAATTCTCTCGAATAATTTTTTTTTTCTAAGTCCAAATTTTCTGATTATAATTCTTTCGAATAATTTTTTTTTTCTAAGTCCTTTCAGATAATTTTTTTTTCTAAGTCCAAATTTTCTGAAACCTTTTCAATTAAGACAGACGAGTTATTTTTGCATGCTGTATTATACCAAAGCCAACATTCGAATGAATGAGGCTCACATTGAATATTTCACAACGAGAAAATTTTATTGGGGCAAAGTTAAATATTTTAACTAAGTCCTAGTAATTTTTTCTCGTTGTGAAAATTTCAACGTGGACTTGATTTCATTCGAGTGTTGGCTTTGGGAATTGGTGTGAGGGAACACTAAAAAACATAAAAAAGTTTCAACGCTGAACAGAAAAGAGAAAAATTGATCTGGGACTTAGGGGGTTTTTTTTAGACTCTCCACCCCTCCTTCCTCCTCCCCTCCCCTCTTCCCCTTTTTTCGCTTTTTTTCGCTTTTTTTCGCTTTTTTTTCACATTTTTTTTTCCTTCTTTGGTGTTTTTTTCGCATGTTGTGGTTTTTGGGTAGATTTTCGGGTCCAGCATGCATCTTCCGCAATGTGTCTCTCTGCGTGTAACCTCTCGCATCATGAACCTCAGGTTGACCATCACTTCGTGTGTTCGTTTCAGGACCCACCGCGCCTGCCAACAGCCAGTCACCAGCACTGCTCCATTTTTTCTGCTTCAGAGTTGCTCGTCGTCGCCTTCAGCCGGATTCGATCCGTCTCACATTGTGCCTGCCTCCAGAGTGATTTCACCGAGTATGCGGTCACTTAAACCGCTCGGCTATTTAAGTTATTGATGATAAAAGTTATTTTTATTCCTATATTGTATTAATATTGAATTTTAATAAAGAATATGTATCATACACATCTCTCTTATTCATCATCTGCCTCTACCCCTCTCTTTCCCCAGTGCTTCCTCTATCTTTTTTTTTTTCTCTTTATGTATCTCTCTTACAGTCAAGTGCGGAAATTAAGTTTTTTGTTTTTTCAGAAATTTACTAAGTGTCAAGGTCGAAATGCGACACCTGAATTTAATATTTTGAACTAATATTTGATAATTATGAAAAACTAGACATTCGATTTTTCAAGCATCTTTGGGATTTGAACCAAGAAACACTGAGAAACCTTAGTGGTCACTTAACGATCTCGGCCAATTGGTTTTACAAAACCGGAGTCTTTTGTAAAAATATAAAGTGTTATTTTCAAATTGAAATATATTAGTTTCCTAAAAATATTGAGTGCCAAATGTGCGAATGGCCGAGGTCGTAAAGATACGGTTTAGGCCAGAATATCAATTCGAAGTTCGCCAGTTCGAACCCCATTTGACTGAAAAAAATATTTGGAACCAATAATTTTTCAAACTGTGTAAATAAATAAGGCACATAGATAGAATTAAATTTATTGAGTGTCAGTATTACAAAAATCGACATAATATATATATATATATATATACGCATATATATATATATTATATATATATATATATACGCATATATATATATATATATACACATATATATATATATATATATATATATAATATATACACGCATATATATATATATATATATCTATATATATATATAGATATATAAAAGATAGAAATAGGAAAAGGATAATTTTTAATAAATTCATATTTACGCCTGGTTAGCAGTAACCAAACCTACTTTGGTGTAATTTAAAAATCTTATTATTTTTTCGATAAAAAGACAGTCTATCAGGAGCAGCCAAAATGGTCAAAATCGTGACTTTCAAATGCAATTTAAAGCACTTAATGAATGAAATTAATAATTTTAATTAATGCTTTGTGTAGACTAAAAGTACAATCTTTATACCAAACCAAAAACAATACAAATTTATCATCGTCTTCATAGTTAAAATCAGCTTCAAAGTTGTCAATTTTTCAAACTTCAATTTGGTGGTACCAAGGGCAGAAGAATTTTTTTTTCCAAAAACTAATTTCATATTCGGAATCAGCGCCTCGAAAACTATCAGAATCGGTCAAAACATTTTGAAAATCGCGAAAAAAAATGTTCATTTCATTAGTAAAATTTTGATTTTGCATCCATGATTTCGATTTTTGGGGATGTATGAGGATTTATCCAAAAACGGATAATATTTTCGAAATCAGCGTCCCAAAATCAATCAAAACCAATCAAAACATTTTGAAAATCGCGGAAAAAAGCCGATTTTTTTTAAAAAAAATCGATTTTGCAACCAAAGATTTCGATTTTTCGCGGGGTGTATGTGGGTTTATCCAAAAATAGATAGCATTTTTGAAATCAGCGTCCGAAAATCTTTTGGAATCAGTCAAAATATTTCCAAAATAGCGAAAACAATCTATTTTTTTGCTAAAATTCCGATGTTCCAGTGGTACACGCGCCCGAAATCCTAACAAACAGGATAATTTCGTCCTTGGCGTAAAAAAAATCATCAAAAATTTTGTCCAATAATTTCTTAATCATAAATTTCTTTTAGTATAGGGGAACCCAGATTTTATGTTTCCTGTTCCTATAAGTGCATAAGTACCTATAATAGAATAAATATTATTTATTTATGAAATAAAATGTATTTTTACTTAATACCAGACTAGTAACAATAAGTAAGCTTTGAATATTTTATTTGAAAATAAAACCACAAAAACTTAGTGAAAAAAATCCGTGGATAGATAGCTTTGAATAATTGTAGGTAAGTATATAACCGAATATATTTATCGTTTATTATAAATCGAATAATTTGGTATCATCACTGTAGTTTCAATAAAGGCATGAATAGCAATCTATGGTTTTAATATGGTTTATGATTTATAAATATATATTTTTTTAATATGAATAATGATATGAATAATTTAAAATGCCTAGAACAAAATTTTCAAGTCGTTTGATAATGTAAATTCACGTTGTAGTTGTATTTTATGATTTATAAATCTAAATTTTTATCTATTTTTTACTAATACAAATAATTAAAATGCCCAGAACAAATTTTCAAGTTGTTTGATATAAATGTACACAGACCAATTCTCGTTCCCCGTTAAAAATTATACGAAATTTTTAGTATCCAACTATATGTACTAGTTTGTACTAAATTCTAGTAAATTTTATCTAGTTTTTACTAATGTAAGTAAATTAACGTTCCAAAAAAGAAAACTAAAAGTTATTTGAAGAAAAGTAAAAAAAGTCCGAAATCTACATATTACGTTTAAATTTGCGGTTCAACTGAAAATTATTCAAAATTTTGATATGCAAGTAATAAAACAATTGATACTATTTGATGGTAAATTTTATCTAGTTCATACTAAACTAAACAAATAAAAGTATCCGAAATAAAATTTCCAAAATATTTGACAAAATGTAAAAAAATGTCCAAAATCCACCTATAGTCAATTATTAAACATAAATCACCACAAATTATTCAAAATTTCAATATCAAAGTGCATATAACAATTTATACTGAATTTCAGCAAAGTTTATCTAGTTTATTTATACTGAAATAAACAAATTGTCCGGAATTCAAATTTCAAACAATTTTTCCGAAATATAATATGTTTATACTATATAAACAAATAAACATGTTCTGAACATAGTTTGACATAGTTATTTGACAAAACGCAAAAAAAACGCCCAAGATCCACATATAGCCATTTATCAAACTCAATCAGCGCTTCAACCACAAATTATTCAAAATTTCAATATGAAAGTGCATATAACAATATACAATAAATTCGAGAAAATTTTATCGAGTTAATACTAAAATAAACATATAAAAGTGTCCAGAATAAAATTTTCAAAATATTTGACAAAATGTAAGAAAATGTCTAAGATCCACCAATTATTAAACTCATATCAGCGCTTCAACCCCAAATTATTCAAAATTTCGATATCAAAGTGCATATAACGATTTATACTGAATTTTAGTAAATTTTATCTAGTTTATACTGAAATAAACAAATAAAAGTGGCAACACTCGTTTTCATTAAATGGTCTAAAAGATATTAAAGATATAAAGCAATTAGGAGATCAATATTTTGCCTAAAGAAACATGCGTAGAAACGAAAATGATAATTTTTGAAAAGCAACATATGTAGATATTTTATTAAGTAAGGTTTACATGAATGTATACCATAGTAAAGAAAATTTTAATACCTATACCAAACCCTAATTCAATTATTAACAACTCATACAAAATGTTGTGTAAAAATATTTTTTCAAAAAGTGCACTTCCTTTCAACGTTAATAAATAGCAACGTGTGTTAAACAGAAACAAATATATTCTATATATTTGTCGATTATAATCATCAATTTGTACTTACTAGATATTTTTGATGTTCAGGCCATCATGTTAGATTTCATAGCTACTCTCATGATTTCATTGAAGGACATATTTGCAAGTTTAATTGAACTCATATAGAAACATATATAAATTTAATTTAAATGGTGAAGTCACAGAAATGCACAACACTTCTTTTACATCTTTCTTTTTGAATCATAAAACACTTTTGAACACAATTGATCATAAACAATTAAACTAACATTAACCATCATAAATAAAATCCATACCAAATATTTTAAACTATACCGTAATTATGAATAAATAAAATATAATTATAACCAAACTAAAACTTTACTGCTTACTCGGAGCTGTCAAACTCAAATGTAGTTTATTCTTATTTTTCTATTGGTAGAAGTGATTCATACCATCATTTTCGTAGAACTTTTTCAGCAAGAAACCAGGACCGCACTTCAACAAATTTAGATATTTTAAATAAATATGTAAATTAGTTCAAAAAGTCCCAAAAACACATTATAAAATAACTGCCCTGCATATTTATTTATGATAACCGCCCTAGGTCAGATATTACTAAAATATGTATTTATATTTTAAGAATACACTACGACCTTTCTAATAATTTACAACCTGTGTCGGTTATTTTGGCTTGGATTCCAAATGCAAAATCAATATGTTCATCATCCCTTGCAAGTTATTTTGATTCATTAAAATACAAAGTTCATTTAAAACACCGAGTACAGAATTAGAACTAATCATTGTGTACAAGATGCAATACTTAATATAGGCTTAAATTTGAAATATTGTACAAATGCTGAATTATTGGAATGGATAGGAATGCATAGCATAGGTTCTAATTTAGACAAGAAAAACTTTAGACACTAATCAAGCTATAGGTGCTAAGCTAAGAACATTACATTATATTTAAAAGCTACAAGTTTTTACTTGGCATCGCAGGTTTTAGAAATATTTGATGAACTAATACACTATATCTGATATTTCTTATTAAAACCATGCAGGAACTAAAATAAACTCTCCCAAAATTTTATTTTATAATGCATCTTACCTATAATCCTAATTAATACAGTTTTTAAATTTTAACCTGAAGAATGCAAGAGTTTTATTAAAATAATTTTTGAATAATTATAATACCATAATCAAAAAAAGTAATTAGATTTCTGTCCTTAAATTTAAAAACATATATTTGTGACTTATTTCACTGGTTTAATTCACTCTATTCTTTTCCAATTAATTTTTTTAATATCCCAATTTATTTTGTCCAAGAAATCTGTTACAATTTTCAAGAAATTTTTTCTTTCAATTTCATATTATAACTAAATTCTGTAATATCAATAGAATTATTCAATCACTATTTTGTTGTTTTTTTAACAGATGATATTTATCTTCCTGTCCACATTTACCCTGGATATCATTACATGTTCAAGGCTTTCATGACAGTCGACTAAGCTGGGGATTGAAAAAACATCAATTTTACACAAGTGGGGATAATTCTTATACCAGATAACCAGAATAACCAATTTATTTTACAGGCAATTGTGGGTTCAAATAAAAGACCTAAATAATTTTTTTACCTATATTTAAGTAACTTTTTGTGAATAGAATATGATTATGTTGAAAAAATAATAAATATATATACATATATACATTTGTTACTTGCGGCTTCTTCTTGCTTCATTTGGATTTTTTCTCATCCAATGTTTCATATTGCCACCATTATGTCTTATTCCCAACATTGCTGATCGTGAATTTATATCCTTTGTTACAAATGGTGAATACCCTAAAAAGACATTTGAAGTCAATTGAATTATTTTTTAACTATATAATTTTATGTATTATATAGTAACAGAAGTTTGTAGTTGGCATTATTACCTGCAATATAATCTGGATTCAAAGGATCATTCTGTAACATAGCTTGCTTACTAACTCTTTGTTGGGGAACACGTTGGCCTTCTGAAAGAATGGGATTGTTAGCATGTTTTCCTCCTTTTGGTGTCGGTAAACTGAATTTTTTTCCTCTGGCTGTTAATGGTTTTCTCAAATTTATATGAATCTGCAAAACAAAAGCATTTATAATTATATATATATATATATATATATATATATATATATATATGAATAGAATTAATTGTATTGAATAAATTAATTTACTTTGTATAATTGTTTAGTTATTTTTGTTTTATTATTTAACTAAGTAAAAAAAAATGTTGTGTTAATATACAACTGTAATCAGAATAAAAATTGTCTATAAACTTTAAATTACTTATTGAATTAATTTTATTTGATCTATTTTTTTACCTTTTGCTTTCCATTCTCATCCAAACTGACTGAAACACGTTTTAAAGTTTTATTTCCACAGTTTGGGCAAAACACTTTAGTCATAATACTTGTAGTTTTAAAACATGCATAACAGCGCAATATAAAAGTTCTTAGTTGTTTAATAACTCGACCATCTAGTGCAGCAACATTTAAGCCTATTTGTTTCAAGACATTTTGCATTGCAAAATCAGTAGTAACGCAAGCAACTACTGAAGGTTTCTCTTCTATAATATCATTGTTTAGGTTCTTTTTCACTTCATTAATATTACTTGGAGTGATCCATCCAAATTCATCATCATCATCTGAAATAAGTTAAATTCAGCATATGTATATATTGTGTTCAAATTACAATCAATTAAATCAATAATTACCATCCTCTTCTTCAGAAGAGCATTCTTCATCATCGTCATCATAATCCTGTTCTTCATTATCATCATTCGATTTAACAGGACTAATAAATCATTTACTGCATCAATGTTGAGATTTTCAAGCTTTTCATTTATATTATCTTCAAGATCATTATCATCAGCATCCAAATCATCTTGCTCTGTTTGGCAATCAAGTTTTGCAGAGTCTTCACTAGTTTTTAGCAGAGTCCTCACTAATTATAGCAGAGTCTTCGCTAATTTTAGCAGACCCAAAAAATGATACAGCATCTCCAATCTAATATATTTAAAATTATAGAATCAATTGGTAAAATAAAACAATATTAATTTGATTAATTGCAAATGCTCAATTGTACTCACCGAATTGTTGCTGGGTTTTGCAGCACTGGCTACAATAGTTTTTTGAACTGTTGGAGCTTGTTTAAATGCTCTGTTCCCACTAATTCCTTTTCCAATTGGTATGTGAGTGCTATAACTTTTATATCAGTAGAAGATAAACTGGCGTAGTCCCCAGTCTTTTTAGAGAATTCTGTGACAAATAGTATATTTTCAGGAAATACTTCTTTTACTTTGATATCATAAGGTAAAACAACTAGTCTTCTTATTTGACGCTTATTTGTAACTTCATCAATCACATCAGACGTTGTTATGATATTTTTTCCAATTTCCTGAAATTATAAATAGCATTTGATGTAATATTTGTACGTAAATTATACATGATATATGATGTTTGAGTGACCATTATAAATATAAAGCATATTTAGTACAATTCATATTTAAAAAGAATGTTGATTTTAATCATTTGTTTAAGAAAAATATTCATGTATATGAAAATACAAAGAAAATTAACAATATACACATAATTTTTAAAAATCGAGATCTTTATTTGCTTTATAATATATATATATATATATATATATTATATATATATATATATAAACAAATGTATTCTGAGTGGATAAATAGATATTAATTTTTATATATATATATATATATATTAATTTGGAAATATGAGCAAACAACACTCTTTTTTGCACTAATTTATTAAATAATTTTTTTCACAAACGTTTCGAGACTAGGTTTGTCTCATCATCAAATTATAACACTGATGTATAACACATTCTAGTCTCGAAACGTTTGTGAAAATTATTATTTAATAAATTATAATATATCTATAATATTCTATATTATATATATATATATATATATTTATATATATATATTATATATATTTTTTGTTCATAATAATTAGAAGAGGTTACTAGACACTAAGATTATTTGTAAGTTGTCACCTGTAAGGGGGCATTTTTAATAAAAGCACTAGTATCAACAATTAGGTTTTCAATAAGTTGAGGAGCCATATTACATTCAATAAAAAAAACAGCAGAGCAATAATTAATTTATTATACACATGGTCAAAAAACGTGGGATTTGCTTTTCAAGAACTGTCAAAAGGTGAAGCATAAACTACTGAAGCTTCAGGCAAATAGATGTCCCACCAAGTTGTAAATTATGTCATTTTAAGGTGTTGCAGTTGCCATTCTGTCATCTTTTCAATAACTTCACTTTGTACTAGGCAACATCTTCTATAAATTTATTTTATGCTTTCTTTTGTCGGGTACGTTTCCGTGGCGAGTTCTTTCTCGAAACAAAATGGTATGTGTGAGACTTAAAATCTTAATAATCAAACATCAAATAGTGTTTTTCACATGAATCATAAATAAATAATTTAATGAAATTTCTTAATCGAGCTTTGCATTGTGATATTTTTAAGTGCTGATGTGTTTTTGCTAAATATATTATTTGTTTTAGGGTAAGGTTAAGTGTTCAGAATTGAGGACGAAAGACAAGAAGGAGCTGACAAAACAGCTCGAAGAATTAAAAACCGAACTTACGAGTTTGAGAGTTGCTAAAGTTACTGGTGGAGCTGCATCAAAACTGTCAAAAATGTAAGTATTCTATTTATTTGTCAGTCTATTATCTGCATTATTAAATCATTGCAATTATTAGTTCCTTCTAGTCATATGTTACTTGTAATTTGTTGAATATGTTCATGGGTTATTTATGACCAAGTAAATGTTATTTGGATTATTAAAATAGCTTGAGATTTTAGTCTTCCTAACCTATAACTCAGTTTCTTGTTTTAGATCCTAATTTCGTACCATAGCATTCGATATTAAACATTTGCTTTAGAACTTATATTACTAACAATTTAACGTGTATCATTCACTCAATCTTTAAATAAAGCAAATAGCAATATTTGGAAACATTGTGCATGTGCGTATGATTTGTCCTGTAAAAAATAGTTTTGTCATTATTGGATAAATGCACATTGTTTGCTTTTTTATTTCACATTGGATGTGCTACTCAGTACTATATCAGTATTAAAATTATCTAAATTATACTATATACTTATTATAGCTATTTTGTTAGCTTAAATATTTGATAATGCATTTCAAGTCACTTGTTTTCTTAGTGCTTGCAATGATACCATATTTATTTATGATTTGAATTTGAATTTTGTTTTTTTTTCAGTCGTGTAGTTCGCAAAGCCATTGCTCGTGTTTATATTGTCATTCACCAAAAGACTAAAGAGAACTTGCGCAAGTTCTACAAAGACAAGAAATATAAGCCTTTGGACTTGAGACCAAAGAAGACCAGAGCAATTCGTCGTGCACTTAGCAAACATGAATTGAGACTAAAAACAATGAAGGAAATCAGGAAGAAGTCCATTTTCCCACCAAGGAAATTTGCACTTAAAGCCTAATTTATCTGTTTATGATATAAAATAAATTTGTAAAAGCATTTGACTTGTTTTAATTTATACTTAGGTGAATTTTATAAATGGCAATGTTAACTGCTCCTTTGGCTTTACAGACATAAGATGCCTGGTCTTTATGAGGTAGATGTGGCTAAAAGACTGTGACGAGGCTATAATTCATAGGATTGTTTTTCTTTCCTTAAAAAGTTTTAAAATAAATAGTGAAGTGTTGAACTGTTATTGTAACTATAATGCAATCAAAATAAGAAATTCTGATGTTTTAATCACCTGCTTGGGTTTAAAATTCAAATTGCTGTAATCATATGACCCTTAAAGCTATATTAGATAAAATACATATTTAGTAATTTTTAAAGAATGAACATAGCACATATCAATATTCTGAAATGTAATTTATAACTAAATAGTATCTACAGCTTGATTGCTAATTTGAGATATTTGTGCTTAGGTATTAAGGTCTAAGGTTTCACGTTTCAATTCTTTGATTAAAGTTCTGTAAAGTTTTTCATTTTACAAAATTTGAAGACTAAAATTGAAGAAGAAAGTTTATTTTTTGTGAATAAGTACAAGCTAATTGATAAAGAATGTGCAATAAGTGATTTAATGAGGTTCCAAGAGATTATTGTAAGGATTTTGAAATAAAAAATGAATATGTCTACTAGAGTTTATACAGTTTGTAGATTTGTAGATGCGAAAAGATTGAGCACCATTGCTGTGAATCATTTACTACTGTGAAGTCCACTACAAAACAAGTTTTACGATGACAGATGATACGTGCAAATAGCTGTCATAAAATAAAATGTTTCAAGAAATAAATGTTTTTTTATTATTTTGATATAATGCTGTAGCTTTTATAGTTCGATATGGGATATTTATTAGATACTAGATTTTTGATACTTTTATATCTTATGTGTTACACTGGTATGTATTATGTCTAAAATGCAATATTTAATTAATGCCTTTATTTAAAGTATTTCGTAGTTATTCTTATATTTAACTTGATTTTAAATAGTTTCGGGTGACAATTACTTTGTATCAATAACAAGTGATGGACCAGTGGTTTTAGGAGCTAAAATTAATTTTAAAGCGGATTTGTTTACTGATGATCAAAAACGTCCGAGTGGTTCTTTCCAGTATATATGGAGAGATAATGCTGTTCCTTCTCATCATTCTGAGGTGAATATTTAAATATATATTGTAATATTATCTTTTGGGTTATATGTAATATATCAAGCAATGTTTACAAAGATAATTGGATTTCCTCAATTGTTTATTATCAGTAATTCTATATTTATAATTGAGTACATTATTAAAAATATATACGAAAATTAAAATGATCATATATTAGAAAATATAATTAGCTAAAGCAATACAATTGTCTAAAATTTGAATTATGGAGACTAAATTTATGTAAATTATATGAATTTATCTAAATTCATATTTGTATAAATTTGTCATTTTTCCATTTTCTTATCGTAGACTATCGAAACTACTAACCCATATAGTGAGTGGAGTGTATCATACCCTTACAAAGATGGATACCAGCCTGGTCTTTATACGGTAGAAGTAGATGTGGCTAAATGGTTTGTTGTTTTCTATGTTACAGTTACTTCACAACGTTATACTTTCAATGTTACAGGTAATAATTATAATATGTACTATAATATTTTTAATATATTGACTCCTTTTACATTTTGATATAAGATTGTAATTATTGTTAAAGAGATTTTTTTGCCAAAAACTTTGACACAATATTTTCATGTTTTCTCAAGATGTTTTATTATAATTTTGGAAGCTCTAAAGTTTTTGTTCTTTAAATATTAAACATTAGAATGAAGTTTATATTATTTAGTATTGATTCATAAATATTATAGTTTTCTATTTAACTCATTATTTTTAGACTTGATCAATGGGCATATGCTCTTACAACAAAATCAAACAGTTCGAGATGATGTTTTTGTGTCAAATATTGAACCTGTAACACATTCAATAGTTTTGAATAAACCTGATGCACTTCTCTTGAAAGATAATGCTACCTCAGTTATAACATATTGGTTCATAGACTGCGGGTTTTATGGATTCACAAATGATTATAATTTCAATTACAAATTTACTGATGTTGGTAAAGAGCATGTTGTAGAAGCTCTCATTGTGGGTTCCTATGACAAGGTACATATAAAAACGAGTTTTATATTGTATTTTAAAATTTACATTTTGTTCATTTTCTCACATTTTCTGTGGTTTTGAAAATAAATCTATATATTAATTAATGATGATAATTAAATTTATCTTATATTTATTCATTTATAATTTCAGCTGCCTCCTATAACTACAACTACTACTACAACGACAACAACAACAACAACTACTACTACTACTACTACTACGACTACTACAACAACTACAACTACAACTCCAAAACCACCAACGCCAAATAATATTACAACCGAACATAATATTGAAAAAAGGAATGTTGTTAATGAAGTCAATTATAAGTCAATGATTTTATCCAAAAATACCAATGATGGGATAAATAATAATAGTGTAAATGATACAGATAAACAAATGGCAGTTGAAGCAAAGGTTTTTGCTAGTGAAAATGTTGAAAATGCAAAATACTCAGGTCATACATTGGACATATCAGGGTAATTAAATGTCAATGAAATTATTTACTTTGTACAATGACTTATTTGAATATTAACATTAAGCGATATGAATAATTGAATATTTTGCAAAAATCTTCACAAACTGTGAAGCTTAGTGATAAAACTTTTAAAAGTTAAAAGAGAAGCTCACGTTTTTCAAGAAATGATATCAAGTAGTGTATAAAAGTTATTTAATGGAAACATAAATATGAAGGTATATGTAGTGTTCTATCTAATTACATTATTATATTGACAATCTTAAGAAAAGGTTTCAACTGTTTGCAAAGTGTGCTTGTGATAGACAAATGTTTTTTAAAACATACTATAATAATACTTATTTATTGCAAAAAGGTTCTCTAATATAATTTTAGGCCAGCAAAAAATGTATATAGCCAATTTTTGAAAAAACAAAGTGGTGCTTCTGATGCATCAAGTGTAGATTCAGATGCTTGCTTAAATAAGTCATATATTGCTTCAGATAAGATGAAAACATATGGGTACTTTTATAGGAAAATAATTGCTCAAGGTATATAAATTAAATAATATATATATATAATATTAATTAAATATATATATATATATATATATATATATATATACATGATTATATTACTAATATTAAACATTTTGAACAGCGCCTGTTAGTAATCTAACTGTAACTGGCAATAACTGGCTGCAACATGGTGATATGTTACGATTGCAAGTATCATGTCAAGGTTCCGCACCTTTTCATTATTGTCTTTTAATGAAACCAGGTAAGTTGTTATGCAGTTATTTTCTTTATAAAACTTTATATAAATCATCTAATTAATTTATATTATAGGTCTGTACAACATAACAGGAAAAGAGACTTGTGATACTGAAATAACAACAGATTTATGTGAAATTTCAATAGTGCATTATTTTCTCTCACCAAGAGCATATACTATAGTTGTTATTATAAGAAACACCATTAAGACACTTATATCACCCGTCGCTATTACTATTTATGAAGGTATGTTCAACAAATTTACTTTTACTAATGAAGAGATATGTTATTTCATTTTTAATATTTCAGCCAAAAAGATTGCTCAATTGTCAGTTATCGTTGTTCCAGTTGTTTTTAGCTTTGTCGCTATAACACTAATTGTGTTTGGAGTTGCTTATTATATACAGAGTCGTGCCAGGTGAGACTAGATTGATATATATATATATACGAGTATATATATATATATATATATACATATCTTGATAGTTTTTTCGACGTTGAAACATATTTCAAAGTAACTAGCAGCCCATTCGTCGAAATAAAAAAGGTATAAAGTATAAAACTTTTATTATACATTTTGACACAAGATGCGTGTCATCACGCAATTCATCCCCACCTTTTACATGATAGTTACCAGCTTGTTATTGATTTTATTAAAAAAACAAAAAATAATTTGCTATCTCCTTTATATTATTTTTTACAAAATTGTTTTTTCTTGTTCAAACTTTTACATGTTTTGCATTTTTCTTTTGATCAATCCATTTCAACCACTTGTTTTCGTTGCGTTCGTGCTTCGTGCATTTGTCCTTGATACGTCCCCTCCCATTCCTATCAATACGCCTATTGAAATATTACAGTCGTGTATGGTACTCGGTATGGGCGTTTCTTGCTTCACAATGTTACATTTCATAACTTTTAGTCAAATTAGTTTTCAAATCTTTTAGTTATTCATAATTTTTTCTAAAAAAAATGTTTATTTTTAATATGTTATAAGTTTAATTTTTTAAAATAAATTTTTGTTGAGTGTTTTTGTCCTGTGGTGTGTAAATGTTTCTCTATGTTATAATTAATCTATATTGGTGTTTTATTAGTTAATAAAATTTTCAAATTGTTCTAGTTGCTGAATGATGACACGCATCTTGTGTCGAAACGTATAAATAAAAGTTTTTATACTTTATACCTTTTTTATTTCGACGAATGGGCTGCTAGTTATTTTGAAATATATATATATATATATATATATATATATGTTAAAGTAGTTAATTTTGATGTTGAGAAATATGAGTAAGTTCTTCAAGGGCATACATCAAATAAAAGGCAAAGATTTAGAAGTTAATCTTTAATTTTTCCAAACGTTTCGACATAGTATTTTATGTCATCATCAGTGGATCTACAGAATGAATATTGAAAAATTAATATATCTAGGAAAAAATGACAGAAATTGGAAAAAGAACTATAGATATAAGTAATATAATTATAGCAAATAACAATTATACTTAACAGATAGATAAACAAGAGGAATGAAAAGTAAAAAGAAATATATTAAACATACAAAAGCGTAATATATATACATAAATATACACACAAACAAACATGTATATATGATATGCATGTAAAAAACGTACACATGCATATATACATACGAACAATACGTATATATAAACATATACATACGGACATGTACATATGTATATACACATATATACATACATACACATACACATATACATATATACATACATACACACATATATATATTATATATATACATATACACATACATATATATATATACACATACATACACATACATACATATGCAATACAGACACATACACATATATAGACAATGAGGTAACTTACATAAATATGGTCTTACATCAGTAGCTAGCGCTAGGAACACAATTTTGCACTATCATATATACATTAACTTGTTTTTTTATATATTAATTTGTTGAACAGAGTATGGCAAAATATTTGTGAAATATATAATATATTTTGCACAGAGAACGTAGTTTATGTGACAGAGCCCAAAGCTGTAGTAACATGTGTTTAAAAATTATTTGAAGAGACCGTTTGAGGGAATAGTTGGCGGGTTTTTTTACAATCAGTGTTTCTAAGTATGGGTGAGAGGCTAAGAATCAAAGTTCGGGATCGGACCGCGTAAGGGTAGGTTTACAGGTTCGGATTACGTAGGTTAAGAGAAACAAATTTGGAAATATTATTAAGTATCACCTGATAATTTTCACAGGTAAGGAGGCATCATGGCGTTTATTAATACAAAATTTCGAGGTGCTGATCAGACAAGATTCAGCAAATCTTCTCTGAATAATGTTCCGTTCGTGATAAAGTATACTAGCGTTATAAAAGTCAAAAGAATGTTAAAATTTTTTATATGTTCTGTTATCATAGTTTGATTTTGTCGTGGGTTTTTAGAGTTATTATCGTGTTGTTTTAGTCGTTTTATTAAATTTTGTCCTGTTTCACCTATGTAAATGGAATCACAATCATTGCATTTTAATTTATAAACAATATTTGATGTGCGTTCCAAACTAGTGGGTGATTTGAGGTTGGAAAAAGGGAGCTAAGGGTTAAGTCTATTTTACAAATTAATCTTAAGTCGACCTTGTGGAACAGTTTTTTCCAAATGGGAAAGAGTTCTTTAATAAACGGGAGACAAACATTACCAATAAAGTTATTGTCTTTGGAGATTTTGGTGGAAGAAGAAGAGGTATTATTGTTATTATTGAGAAATTTGAGTCTATTGTACGTGACAGAGTTTATGAGATTAGAAGGATAAGAGTTATTAATAAGTGTTGTGTGGATTAACGATAAATTAGCAGACCAAAATTGTTTGTCCGAGAGAAGTATGGCGTGGTCAACTAAATTAATTATAGTACCTATTTTCAAATATAATATTAAAAAAATTAAAGATTAACTTCTAAATCTTTGCCTTTTATTTGATGTATGCCCTTGAAGAACTTACTCATATATATATAATATATATATATATATATATATATATATATATATATATATATATATATATGATTATTCTTTGATGGTAAAACATTTACTTGAAATGTTAGCAGTCAAGTGTCCCTCTTGTGATATTTGGTAATTTTGTTGTCTAACCCATTTCCTTCTTTTAAGTTTAACGGAGTTACATCAAATTGTTTTCAATTTTTTTGAAATCGGTGTAACCTTTTTTGAGAAACCGTCGACAAATCGTGAAAAATTGACTTACATGCTCACCCACACATATCATTTTCAATTTTGATCTCAAATGATTTAGAATGACTTGAAACGTCGAGGAAACATAAGATTAACAATTCTTAGTTATCATCAACAAATTTTGATTTTGTGTCGAAATTATTATCTTTCTTTACCGCAAGTATTTGATATTTTCATCTAGATTCAATATTGAAGTGGCTGATTTCGATTTCGGTCGATCGTCTGCTGATCTAGAATATCGCACCTTCTGGAATCGAGTCGTATATAATATTAGAGAAGCGTGGCTAAATGCTCGGGGACATGCTCATGCCCGCCTTATAGGCGATAACACTTCCCATGCGGGGAGTTCAGGGTCGTTAACACCACCTGCAGGCGCCGCGGGTGGAGCAGAAAGCCCGTCTTTCAAATATGGCTTCATGACATAAAGATTTGCTTTCATTTGTGCTGTGAATATAAGAACTTGTTAACATTGATGCTTTGGGAGAAAAGAAATGAATGAAATAAGTTTTAACTCGAATATTGGTATGTTTTATATATAGACCAAGTAGACTTATAGTATCATAATTAAAAAAATTAGGGTTTATTGAGAATTATTTTGTTTCTATAAATCAGTGTTAGTCTTGGTTACTGTAGAATTGTATAATACAAGAACCAAATTGAACATTCAAAGAAGTAGGCGTAAATGACCATTCGTGGTCAAAGAACGTACAAAAATATTTATTTTATATAGATATTATTCCATACGTCATATGAGTATTCTAAAATAGAAAGACATTAGAATTGTCAAACAGAAGAGAGTAAATCTAATCGCGTCATACTACATATTACAATAACTAAAAATTTATAAATCATTTGGGCAGACAGACAAAGCACAAAAACCATTGTGATATGTTCTTAGATTGCAAAGTTTTGTTGGATTGTATTTTTATAATATAAGAGATTTGAAATATGCATTGTATTATTATGTTTAGATAACGTTTTTATTATTATTCAGTTTATTTTTATTGTATTATAATTATATTGACATAAAATTGGGCTAGTGATATACATTTTAGTTTGTTAATGTTTAATCATATCTTTTTTATGTAATGTTAAATGAATAAATCATAAAAAACAAATGTATTTAAATACCAAAACTTATAATGTATACTTTAACTAGGTTATATATGCATATTGACTCAGATTGTGAATGTGTGGGACATCTAAAGATTGAAATTTTTCTGTAAGTTATTATAACTTATATTACATATTTTATAATGAAACTAATATTCGAAAAAACACCATTTAATAAATTAAAACAGAAAAATGTATATAATCCAGAAGAAATATTTTTTGAAATTGCATAACTAAGACTCTTTAGTCTAAAGAGTAATAGGTTTCAAAGCTATCATATAAACTGGATACAATCCTTTTGGTAAATGTGTTTGTTGGGTTTCTTTAACTATCCTCAATCCTGCAGAAGTTAGAAGACGTTGAAGTTCTGTAGTGGTCTTGTTACAGAAGAATCCTGTTCATCAACTTCGACAACCCCTGAAGATGTAACATTTTCCTTTATGACAATAACACCCTTTGTTTTTAAACCATTAATACATCTCTTGAAAAAATTAATAAAATCTTGATCTTCTAAATGCCCAAGAACCCACTGACACCAAATTAAATCATAGGTTTGGGGTTTTGGAGTAAAATTTTGTAAACCTTCAGGAAACAATTCACCAATCTTATTGCAGGAGCCAATGTATTTTTTTGCCTCTTTTAGGAAATCAGGGTTTTGTTCAACCATGTCAACAGTGTCAAATAATTGTACTAAAAGATGCTTAGTAATTCTACCAATTCCAGCACCGCAATCCAAAGCTCTTGTATGCTCTGGCTTTACTTTAAAATTTATAATTTGATTTAAAAACTTTCGAGATCCTTGAATGTCAGAATGCGATATGAAACCAAAACCACCTAACATTCCTTCTACTGTAGGCGGGACTTCTGACCAATATTTGGCTGCATCATCATAAAATTTGTTGCAATCTGTTTTATTTTCTTGAAAATCTCCATTATCAACGTGTTCACTTAGATCAGTCATTGTAAAATAAATAGTAAAAAAGAAACAAAAATTATCTACGAAAGTTTTTGAACGTTTAAACTTGTTTTTTTGTTATCTATTTCAAATCATTTTTTTTTATAAATAGGCATATTATATAAATTTTGCTTTTATTTCTCTATTACTTAAAAAATCTACAAACCCATTAAATATAATACGGAAAATATGATGAATTAACCTATAATATCATTTATAATGCTTTTTTTTAAATATAAATAATAATATATTAATAAAAAATCCCCTCCTTATATTTTTTGTCTGCTTCTATATGCGATTCAATTATTAACCACATGATTACAAATTAACGAAAAAACATTTAAAAGCAAGCTTTAAACACGCGAAAACATCAAATGTATTTCGGCATCATGTCATGTATCTTTCTATCTTTCCTTATTCTGGTTTGACAGCTCGTCCATAGATTTGTACGATGAGATGTAACTGCAGAAGTTAAAAGAAAAGTATATTTAGTTTAATGATAAACAATAAATTTGGATAAGTTGAATTATAATTTGTGTTGATTCATAATTGTAAAACACATAAATAAAAATGAAACAAATTGGCCATCTCATTATCTCATTATCCGTGTCGTTGTCAATGTTATGGTCAGTTAGAAGAGTTACCAATCTTTATATATAGTCCTTTTTGTCTAGGCTGTACACGTAAAAGTTCACTTTCGGCAGTGAAGAAATGTCAAATTTGAAATATCATAAACATAATAATGTCAGATAAAAGTAAAGAAGAGAAATTAGCAGCTGCAAGAAAGCTGGTATATATAAATTCTATAAAATATCTATCAGCTCCCGTCTTTTTTCCAAATCAAACATTTCATATAAATACAGACACGTCATAATCAGCCAACTCATTCAATATTTATTGAGCATATTTTTCTGTACAAAATGTAACTTAATTTTATTTTCAGCTAAAGGAATTTCAACAAAAAAATCCACCCAGAATATCAAATTCCCAGATAATTTATGTACTAATTCTGTTACAAATGTTGATAATACACAAGCCCCGAATTTACCAACATTTAATGGAAATACTGTCACTGGGCTATCTGAAGAGCAAATTGCTGATAATAATCAGAATATAGAACAAAACCCTATCCAAATAGAATACCATTATGGTACTAACTATATAGTAAATCAGTTAAGTCACAATGATTCAAATGCTATTCAAAACCCATTTGAAAATATATTTCAAAAAAGTCAAGATGAAAACTTCTATGAAAATCTACCAAAAGAAGTTTCATCAAACACAGCCCTTCCACAAAATATTATAGATACAGAAGTGAATAGTAATAATGAACCAAATATAAATGTCAATGAAAATTTGCAGGGAACTTTGTGTGACATAGATACTCCTGGTGAAGTATCTACAGCTACAGAAAATATTTTAAATGTTAATGAAATATTAAGTACTGATACTGGGATTGATAATCAATCAGAAACAGTTAACGAAAGAAATGAAGACAGACTTTTAAAACTTTTAAATCAAGAACAAACAAAATATAATAATTTGGAAACGGAACATCAGAAATTGATTTTAGAACTTGAGGGTCTTAAAACTCAATTGAATGAATCCCACAATAAAGCTAGAACAGATGAAGATGAAAAAAATATATCATCTTTAAATGAAAAAGTTCAATTGCATATGAACACTATAAAAGTTTTAGTTGGAGAAAAAACTGAACTGAATGCTCAAATAAATAAATATGAATCACTATTACTTAATCACAATGCAGAATGTGAGGAACTGCAAGGACGGTTGCGAGCAGTGAGGCATAAAGCTGCTGATTCTGAAAAAGAATTAACACAATGCAAAAAAATATGTCAACAATTAGAAGGTGAATCAAAAATGATGAAAGAACAGAATGATAAGTTAAAAAGTGACTATACTGTGAGTATTAAGGAAGCTGAGGAGTTGAAAGAAGAGGTGTCGGAATTAAAAGAAAAAATTAAAATACTGGCTTCAGATTGCAAACGATTGGAAACCGAACTTGCTGGAAAAAGTAATGAACTATCACTAAGTCATTTAAGGATCCAACAAATATTATCTGGTAATAATACTGGTATGGATAATTCTTTGCAAAGTTTGATGGATGATAAAACATCCTTGGAAACTAAAGTAACATCACTTGAAGAAAGTCTTGAAAAATCTAAAAATGAAACTGTTCAAATTACACAACAGTACAAACAATATTGCCAGCAATTAAATTCACAAATGCAAAATTTGGTTACTACTTTGCAAGAAAAGACTATAGAAATTGAAAAATACAGTAGTCGTGAAAAGGATTTGATGAATCATATGGCTGAATTAGAGAAACAATTACAAATCGCACCTAAAGTGAAATCTACGACATCAATTAATGAAAATTCAAATGATGAACTTATTGAGCTTAAAGAGAAATATTCTACGATGGAGAAAAAATATGAAGATTTACATGTATGTCTCAATTCATCAGAAAATTCATAAATATTTAATACTCACTTAACAACTTTTCTTATCAGTTTCTAGAGTATAAATGATTTTTTTTTTTTAATTTGACTTTAGATACATATTCTTGCAGATAATATATTTTGTAATTATTTTTCAGCTTCAGCTAATTGAGAAATGTTCTGAATTACAATCAATGACTGAACAATTTAATGAAGGTAAAAATAAAATTATTGAACTAGAAGAATCATTGGAAAATTTGCAAGTGGATACAGTAGACACAGCTAAACTAAATGCTGCTATTGAGAGTGATAAGATAGCCGCTGCCAGATCTATGGCACAAAATGCCGAATTGAAAAAACAAGTAGAGGAATTGCAGAAAAGTTTCATTCAAATGGTAATGCTTAAAATAAATCTATATATATATATATATATATATATATATATACATAGTCTAGTAATCGAGTATAATATCAATGAAAAACATTGTGCCCGATTACTAGACTTCATACATATGACTAATACATATGTCAACATCAAATTCAGTATCATACAAAACAGTGTGTGTGCGAGTGTTTAATTATAAAATTATTTCTTATAGAGTGATTATAAGTTGGAAATAACAGAAAAATTGAATTGTGAGCAACATCTTGGCCGAGAATTAAATTCTCAAGTAATAAAATTGGAAAATGAGGTGCAAAAATTACGTTCTGTACTTGAAGCTAAGAATGAGGAAATGATTAGATTACAAAATGAAAATGCTAATTTATCAAAAGAAGTTATACAACAGGCCCAACTTTCAGATAGGTTACGACATTATGAAGCTAAAGATAATGTTACAGATATAGTACAAAATGAATTACAGCAAGCAAGGGATCAAATAGCCATGTTACTGCAAAAGAACACAGAATTGGAAAAAATGTTGTCTAATGATTCTGATAAACATGAAGAGATGACCATTACTTTAGATGAAAGTAATGATACTATAAAAACCATTCCAGATATTGCTACAGCTGAATCTAAAACTGTTGATTGTAAAGATACTGTCCCAGTTATAGCTACGCAAGAAGCTTTGGAAAAATTGCAAGAAAAATTTACAAAAACTATGGCTGATATTGCAGAACTGACTGAAGAAAAGCATCGACTGGAACATTTAGTATTACAGTTACAAAGTGAAACAGAAACTGTGGGAGAATATATTGCACTTTACCAGAACCAAAGAAGTTTATTAAAACAGAGAGAAATTGAAAAAGACAACCAGTTAATGAAACTTGCACATGATCAAGAAGATATGAAGAACAAATTATTAAGACTAAATCAATTAATTATGCAATTATTAAAGGAAAAACATAACACAAATGAAATTCAAAATCAGGACATCATAGCACATCATGATCAGAACAGCAAGGAAATTCTTGATATAAATTCTGAAACAAAATTAGAAGACAGCTCAGATTTTGTAAAAGAATCAGTTGATGCCCAATTAGTAAACTACTTGCCTAGTTCTGATATTTGTCAATCCACAGATATTGCAAAGAAAATAACAGATTTATTATCAGAGCTTAAATCTAGCGATTTAATTCATCCAATAAATGGGGAAGATGTTGAAAATTTTGCTCACCATTGTCATTGCTGTTCTGGAAGATTATTGACAGTATAGTTCAAAGTATTTCTATTTGTTTATTATATGTAAGAACATTGTAAATATAGATGTAGAGAATAACTTAAACTTTTATAAAGTGCAATTATATAAATATTGAATAAAGTCAAAATATGTAATATATTTATTAAAGTCAACTTGTAATTTGAGAATTATAATTTTATTATTAATAGCATGAGTCTATTAAGAAGTTTTGATTCATATAAATACTTTTACATATTTATATTATATCAGCCATAAATGAAATACATACAGTTTAAGAACAAGATACATTGAAATTTGTTTAATTTTAACAATGATAAATACATCCTATTTATTATGCATGCAGGAAGTGCTTTGAAGTTCATGGTAATATCTGATAATTGGTGAATAATATCACAATAATTTGATTGAAGAGGTCCATTATGAATGTAAGAAAAGTATTAATAAGATGAACGAAATTTTTACAGTTAAAAGAAATTGCATAAATTTTAAATCTCGCGGTAGTCCATTCAATCATATTCGACAAAGTTCACGTTAATATTGAAGTTGTCATTTAACAGGTGTTACTTCTAGGTTAGAAGAAATCGTTATTTTTATTGTTTATTAGGACCCTAATTAGGACTTTTGTGATAATTTGAATTTATTGTTAAAAAAAATCATTTTTAAAAATAATTTTGTGAAAAAATGTGAAGTATAGAAAAATATATGAAGTTTTGCGTAAGACTTCAGTTCGTTATTTATGGGAAAATTATTTGATGCCGAAAGAATGGAGTTATTGTCATTATTTATTTTTCTTCAACTTCACCTATCTATTTATACACTGGATATAGATGATCAAGGATATATTTTGTATTGCCCCTGCATGGGTTAGTATATTAAAAGGCGATATTACGCTTTGAATGAATTTGAAATGATAATACAAACATTTTCTGCATCATGCTAAGTGATTCTTAGTTTTACCTGCATATCAATATATGTGTGTGTGTCTTTATATGTATATATTCATATAGCAGGTAATTTTTATAATTTAATTCATGCATTATTTATCAGGACGATTTGGAAACCAAGCTGATCACTTCTTGGGTGCATTAGGTTTTGCTCATGGAATTAATAGAACTCTCGTCTTACCTCCTTGGGTGGAATATAGGTATGGCGAAACAAGATCAATACAAATTCCATTCAGTACATATTTTAAAGTGGAACCCCTTCTGGAGTATCATAAAGTAATTACAATGGAAGACTTTATGAGTCAATTTGCACCAACTCTATGGCCTCCTGAAAAACGTGTATCATTCTGTTATATGGCAAGAGGAAATTCTAATGGATGCAATGCTAAAGAAGGCAATCCCTTTGGTCCATTTTGGGATACTTTCAATGTTGATTTTGTTGATTCACAATTCTATGGACCATTAAACTATGATGTTTATAATCGTGGAATGGATTTTAAATGGAGGCAGAAGTATCCGGCAGGCGAATGGCCAGTGTTAGCATTTACTGGTAAGTAAAGTACCTTACGTGTGTTAATTTCTTGATTAAGTATTAGTTTTAACTGAGTAATTATTTTAATTAGATGTAATTTTATTTGATATAGTAGTTAATAAAGTTTTTTTTTGAATGCTATCACATATTATTTTTTTTTTGTTCAATATTAACAAAAAGGTTTAATGTTATGTTTGTTTTTTCTCTGTATTATATTTCCAAATCATTGCGATATGGTATTAATGTGTGGATTTTTTTTAGTAATGCTGAATCAACAAAAGTTTAATGCTTTATTCAGACATTGCTCGTTGTGTTCAGCAAATGTCTGCTGAAAACTAATAATAATTAAATCAAATTGTAATCAATAATTATATTCTAGTTTGCATATTAACATTATACAACTGCTTTAATCTTATTGCTAATACCTGCCTCAACGTATGCATTAAATTACAGTGAAAGCTTTTTTCAATGTTTTAGTTTCAGTTCCTCTTTTGTGGTTTTGCCATTTGAACCATTTATTATATGTAAGTTTGTTTCCATATGTGTATTTATTGCATTTAGTTACATTTTGCATGTTATTATCTATTAGTTATTGACAGTTGTTTTATCTATTAGTTATTAACAGTGTCAGAAGTATACTTGTTTTCTTGTAAGGTATGTATAACTATTATTAAAAATGAGTACGCTTTAGTGAATGAGGATGCTTTAGTATATTCAGCAGATTTTAAATGAAACAGTGTCTAATTATTGGTTTTAGGAGCCCCAGCTAGTTTTCCAGTTCAAATTGAAAATCGTGTCCTTCACAAATATCTGAAATGGAATGATAATATAACAGCCCAGGCTAACAATTTTATAAAAACCTCTTTACCGAAAGGAAGCTTTATCGGAATTCATTTAAGAAATGGCATGGATTGGATAAGAGCTTGTGAACATATAAAGCATAGCAATAATTTATTTGCTTCTCCTCAGTGTTTGGGGTATAGGAATGAAAAAGGAGTACCAACAATGGATATGTGTTTACCACCTACAGAACTAATCATTCGTCAACTAAAACGAGTTATAAAAAACTTTAAGGACAAATCTATAAAATCTGTATTTGTTGCTTCTGATAGCAATCATATGCTGACCGAATTGAATACGGCTTTGAAGCGCATGAAAGTTTCGGTATTCAAATTTGAGCGGCCTAATCCTCATGTGGAATTAGCGATTATGGGTCGTGCAAATTACTTTATAGGAAATTGCATTTCATCTTTCTCTGCATTTGTGAAACGTGAACGGGATTCTAAAGGTTTTCCATCTGGATTCTGGGCTTTTCCAACAGAGAAGAATATGATACATGAGGAATTATAATATATTCAACTTTATATGTATTTATATTAACCAGTATTATGATAATAAATGATTTGAGTGATGCTTCAAAAAAAGAGCCTTTATAAGTAATTTGTATTTTTGTATATATATACTTAGTGATAAATGAACTTTTAACTAACATTAATTTTCATATTGCGAGACTAATGGTTTTATGACTATAATTATTATCAGGCATTAGTAAATGATTTAGCGCAGAATCTTTTTGTGTTCTGTAGATAATATTCGGAGTGTTTTTGAGAAAACAGATTGCCTTAAATCTTCAAACATATGGCAAATGTTATCCAGTATTTTAGTATGCCACTGAAGGCCGCGATTCGAAAGAGACGGCACCAAAACAAATGACTTCCACAAAATTTTAGAATACTGAACACCTTTTGTTCGTTGTCGGACTATTAAAAAGTTTGAATGGCAAGCTTCGTTTGGAGATTTAAAGATTTGTAAGCGAAGTAATTCAGATTTCATGTATTTTAGCTCCGTAAAAGGCGTATAAATGTCGCTTACGTTCTGTGTGTAAAGTTATTGCGTCGTATTTTCTTCGGCGTTAGGCTTGTATTGGTTTGTACTACAATAATGGTTTACGTTCGCACGTGCGTCATATAGTACGTACACGTATTGAAGGACGAGCTGTGATTGGTCAGCGCTGCTTTGAATGTAGAACGTGACGTCACCGAACAGAGGTTATAAGTAGACGTGCAAACGGCGCGTTTCGTTCATTCGAGTTTTGGTCACGTACTAGTGTGGATCTGTGTGTAAGCCTAAAAAATTTTTTAAGTGTTAGTGTGTGACATTTCTTTGGATTAAACGTGTTTTCTATGACTAAAATGGCAACAGAAGCTCAAAGGTTAATCGGAATATCTTTGGCCAAGATTGCTCAATCTAGGGTTCATCGTGGCGGTGTAAGCCTGCACAAGAATTTGTTAGTGGCGACAGTATTGCAGAAGGCTCGGTACATCTTCATGAAAGAGGCTTACCACATGGTTCACGGAGGACCCTATGGACTCGCAACTCATATTCAGACTCATTTGTACGCTCCACCGGTAGAAGTTGAGGAGGAGGACGATTCTTTATTGACCAGTGAGGAGAATTCTCCGTGTGACTTGGCCAGGCCGACGTACTTAGACCTTGACAAAGCGGCCGCTCAGGCTACTAAGCGGAGACGAGCGGTTACCGAATGGGAAACCGAAGAAGCAGTATTGTCCATTCTTCCGAAACGGACGCGCCAGGACTCGTCTGATGACGATTCAGATAATGATTCCGTCTTTCTGGATGATGAAGCATCCTTGTTTTCCCAGAGCGTGTCTCGGGACGCAGAAGAAGACCAACAGTCAGCCCTCGACTCCTCCCATTCACCTGCCGGAAGCGGCATGGAAATCGATCGGATTACTTCCCTAGTGTCGATTTTTGGATTTGGCGGGAAACTGGCCAGATCCGTTTCAACTCCCGATCTCTGTTCGGCCCAAGCCTTAGACCATCCTGCAGACTCAATAACGCAGAGGCCGTTTATAGCGATGACTGTTTAACTTATTATGTTCAATTATTTATGCATATACTTATATAAATCAATAATTCTATTAAAGAGAAATATTTCGGTTGTGCCGTTGTGCATTGGTGTTTGTGAGAAAATTACACGATCTCGGTATATAGTTGAATTAAACGTTTCATAGATAGTTAATTATCTTTTCTGTTTGTGTTGATACGTCATTCACCGGATAACATTTCCAATTTATCCATAATTTTTGCTTTAGTGATGAATTAGCTAATGTTTTCCTGAGTATGCATAAGCACCATTGCATATCATGAACACCAGTTCAGTGCGCTGACTATACTAAAATGTGATAACTGCAATTTTTTATAAAGAGACAATTTACGATATGTGGACGTTTTTATACTTATTTGCTGCCCATAGTTTATTTTATATATTCTTTTATCACTGAAGATACTTAGTATTATGATGTTTTGTAAATAGTCAAAAAGCACAAATATTTTAATAGGTGCCATTTTGGTGTTATTAGACTAATTTATTGTGAAAATGTGTAAATAGAAAATTTAATATATTCAAATTTTTAGACTGATATGATTATGAGGTTTCACATGCAAATAAAGTACAATGTTATCAAAATTTTAATAGGAAATATTTGTGCTTGCCTATACTTGTAAGTGGCATATTGATATTGTTTATTGCTTATCTCAATTTTTAATTATTACGCAGATGTACTTAGAGTACTTACATGATTATAATGCGCATTAGAAAGTTTGTTTTGATATCAGTATGTTTCTTACAAAATTGCAGCTAAATATTGTATTTGTAAATATTGTAAACAAGTTTAAACTCCGTTTTAGGAGTCTGTACATTATTTGTAAATATAAAGTACAATTTTATGATAAATATGCTTTTTAATCCTTACGTAATAATTCAACAGATTGTTCAGAATCCCAGAAGATATTTTTTATATCTGAATAAAAATTATCCTTTTTAAGTTTGATATTTGAAAATTGTAGATTGCTTTAAATATTTTTTCTTAAATTACAATTACAATTTAATGTTTAACATTGCAATCTACATTGTAAGTTCATCCTTTCAATTTTTTATCATGTACCACAACACAACAGTAATTTATTAGTTTTTATTTCAGAAGTAATGTTTACTTTTTTTCCCCTTCATATACTTTGCATACAATATTCTAGATACAAACAAAAATAAATATTTTTGAACAAAACTACTGCAATTATTCTAGAAGTTTACCTAGAAGATTTCAAGCTAGGTTGCAGAAATAATAAACTTTTACACCTTTTAAACCTACAATTTTATTGTTCTTGGAACCAGTATAGGTTACAATTAGAATTCAAACACGATACTACTTACAGGTAATATTGTAATTGTTAATGTATCACATCGTAATATTGTAAGTGTATTTAGTATCACATCGTTCCTCAATTTTACGCAGATTACTTAACTTTTGACAAAATGAAAATTTGAAAAAAAGGATCCGTTTTTTACCACTTTCTTTTTTGAGTTTCAATTTTTTTTTTAAAAATGGTATAAATTAAAATTTGATGGGGAGGCTATTATATCTCTGAGAAAAGTCGATAAAGAAGATTTTTCTAAAATTTTAAGTAAATCGGTTCAATAGATCCGATAAAGTATTAAAAAAGATAGTTTTGAATAAAACTCGTTTAGGAAATAAAAGAGGATTATCATGGTCAAACAGGTGTATATTCGGAAATAATTTAAATTTTTTAAATCCCTCTGAAAAAACAGAAAAAACTATTTTTTTTGAACTCCTGCACTAGAACCTAGTCAACCCCTTTGGGTGACATTATATTGGTTTCTGTAATAATTTAATAAAAATACTACATATTATAATATTGTTTCTTCATGTTAAAGAAAAATGATTCAAATTACATCAACAAATAAATTAACTCAACAATTTTTTTTTAAAGGGTTAACATGGTTAACCCTAATGTTATTCATCGCAAGTACTTCCAAATTGTCGACAGACTAAATTTCACATTCGTATTGTTATAAACACACCTGAAGATTTTTTATGATGTGTGGATTATATTGCTTTAAATATAATTTTTAAAATATTATTTTTAAATAGAAAACGAAACTAATATAGTTAAGGTACCCACAAGAGTAATGTAAATAAGATAAGGGCGGTCGTCATGTAATTTGATTATATATAAAATGATAATTTTTTTAAAATATTGCCAAAAATTCAATCGTTTTTTATATATACACATATAAAATATAGAAATCTGATCGAATGAAAGAAATCCAGCATTATATCAACAAATCAATACAATGGACGCCCCTACTTACATATCTTACACCCATCCCTTCGTCTGTGTCCAATATTCAAAATATTCGAATACAATATTGGAACAGGGTTGAAATAGATGTAATAGAAAATGTATATAGTTGAATTTATAATACCACTATAATTCTTTGAGTAATTTAGTTCAACAGTGTGAATATTTTGATTCAGTTATGAATATTTTAATTATATAAATCCAAAACGAATGAATATTTTTTAAATTTAATTACAATCTACTCATAACTAATAATTCTTTTTTTTATTAAGCAATAATATATTATATTATCGATTTTATTAATCAATTTGAACTGAATTTTGACTATATACTTGAAAAATGGATTTTATTTTTACTTTAAAATAATATGACTTTGTTTATTTCGGTAATGATTTCAATATAAGTTGATGAAATATAGAAGATGATGCACAATTATTCTATTTTTCGAATAATGTGCCAAGTGTCGATGATTACAAGAAATTTTTTATTGGAATATCTGAACATCATCTTGAAAAGTACTAATACTCAAAAGTAATTATTTTAATAAAACTTTATATTTAGGTTCTTGTTAGTACAATATTATATTGTCTCTTATTTTAAGACGTCAATATATGAGGTTTTATAATTTACTTGAAGATTAAAAAAAATGTTTAAAGGATATTTATTTTTTTTACTTATTTGGTACTAATGCATAATATTTTTCATAATTTAACTTAGCTAATGCTAACGTAATACTAATATTTAGTTTTTTAGATATTGTTATTCTTAGTTTCCCAGAAATTTTGCAAAAGTTTTAATAATTTTTACTACAATATATGATATTCATTATATCATATGCATGTTTATTAGCATTTGTTCACAAATTTTCTGTTCTATCTGAACGGATGAATATTACCCGATAACTTTTGAGTGTTAATTAATAAGATAAATAATTGTGTTCTCAGACAAAACTGAAATGCTTCACAGTTTTTCGTAGTATTAAAATATCATACGATTTCGTCGGAAATGACATAGTTAATTATATTAATTTATATGACTAATATAGATTTATGCGTAAAATACGACACGACACAGCATGCAGACTGGTCGTAATAATTTTATAATAACAAATTTAATTATTATTATGTGTGCCAATTATTGTAAATAATTGTTTATTTTCTGTTAATAATTGTCTTATACAAAATTTGAAATTACACGAAAAGAATAAAAAAATACTACTGGTAAAAATAAACTTTTTTAATCCAGATTCTATATTTTTATACAAAAACAATGAGCAGAGATTGCTAACAAGACACACAAAAAATACAATTGTGATCAGAAGAAATAGAAAATGAAATAATTTTTCCTGAAGTTTTCAATTAAAAGCTCTTGGCTACTAGGAACATGTATTAACTGGTCATCAATAAATAGATTGAAAGACGGAACATTGTCCTTTCCCCTACATTTTTAGTACAATGAATGACTCATGATCAAAAATGCCTTCACATAGTTATTCGTCATCGATGCACTGTTGTCGGTAATTTTAGAAATATTAGTCAGATAGGATATGTAACGGATAGAAACCTTTTGGGAGATGACTGTATTATTTATTTAAAAAAAAGATAAGGAACAAAATACAGAAATGATTTCGCAGGGGTAAATTCAGAAAGTCAACTCGTTTAATATGCGCCAATAACGCTGTTATTTATTTTATTATATTACGAATTTTTACGAATTTTTATCCAACTATGGCCTTCTGTTATATATATATATTAAAAATATAAACGTGGTGATCGTAAAAAAATATCATGAGTATAATACTCATGAGCTTTTAAGTACAGCCTAGAGATTTGGCCAAACTGACCATTTTTCGGTTATTACGGTTGATTTTCATTAATTTTGTTTATTGAAACTTTGGAACGGTAAGTATATTTCTAGGACCATAGCCGAAAATAAAAACGCAATTGCCCTAAGTTTTTAACAATTAAGACTTTTTGTTGAACTATGAACTTAAAATTTTCAAGATTGGTCGACTTTAAGACCCTCATTTAAAAAAATGTACTAAAGTATGTTGGCAAGTTCCATCCATAGTTTACACATTTAATCAGCATTGTAAATTGGTGAAAAATTGAAAGACAAAATAACATGATCTAGCAACAGCTAGTGCATTTTATTCACAATCAGTAGTTTCCAAATAATTAAAGACAACATTATAATACAGCTATACAAAATTTTATAGTTATACAAAATACTTGGATACTGAATTGGAACAGGGTTGAAATAGATGTAATGGAAAATTTATATAATTTTATAATTGATACTGGATACTGATTAAGTGGGCAAATAATTTGAGAAATTAATTGAAAAAAATCTGCAATATTATATGAAGCTAATTCTTTAAAAAATTACCAAAGGCAGGCACGGAACCCAAAAACGTTTATGGTAATCTGGTTTAAATTGAAAAATAATGATTCATTTAATAAATATATTGTAGCGTCAAATGTTAAATACTTCTACGATAGGGATGTAATTTTTGAATATATGAAAATTATTGTCATTACTGCTCCAATTTTTAAAATTATTGTAATTACTGCGTTTATTTATGATTGCTAAATAAGTTATCCTTTTAAAGTAAATTCAATTTAAAGGATTTATTTTTCGATAAATCTGTTGATAAAATATTGTATAGAATTGTAGAGTCCCATGTTTATGTTGCACATGTAGGCACGCGTTCAACAGATGAATTTTTGAGAATGCAAATTGTATTTGCGGCAGCCAGATGCTTTCGAGATTCTAGCAGCTGTCGTTGATGTCGTGCTTCATTTTCGGACAAAACTAAATTGAAGAATTGGATCATTATTTTATACTTGTAAACAAAATTTAGATTCAATTAGTTTGCCTTTTAATTGACTCATAGTGGATTATAATGGGTTTTGTGCTCATTTCGAATGCCATCTTTCGAATCGCCTCTCGTGGGTATAATTGCATGTATATAATAAAAATGTCAACAAATATTTCGAATAATTAATTAGTTATATCTGGATTGGACAACTGCTGGGTTGCCATCCATTCAAAAATCCATATATAATAAAGTCAAAACAATTACTGAATGTCCTAAGTGTTACAGATTGTAATTGAAATGTACAAGAAAAAAAATCCGAACCAATGTATAGAATGATATTAATTTTCAAAGAGTTCTTATTCTTCTTAAATTACTTTTAATGCATCTAATATAAGATGTTATTTACATTAGGTACGATTACTGAAATCCAAGTAATTATCTGGTTTTGCATGGTGATTTTACCATACTGGGTTCACTCAAAGTATATTATAATATAATCATATATGATTTAATTATTAATTATCATACTAAACTATTAACATTAAATTTTAGGTAATGCAATTACTATCCGACTGACTCACTTATTTTGAAATGTTTCCCAAATACATAGCTAAATATCATGGTACTGAGTAATACTACATGAGGACTAATGAGTAATATTACGATTTTTATGTATTGTAATTTATTAGTATTACATTGTCCACAGTTATCATATGTTATATTTTTAAGTTATATTTAACTTAAAAAA